CAAAATACGGTAAAGTGGTGACCCCATATAAAACACGGTAAAGTTTTGACATCCGACATATCCCAATCGCGCGCTCAAATATATATTATATTCGCAAAAAAAAACAAATAATACACTGGAAAAAAAAATGTCTACTTCAATCACAATCTAGTTTATTATAATCACCCTTCTTGTTTCTATTTAAACCTGGCAAGAGCTAAATTGATTTGACTTAGAGAACTTTGTCGAATATTTAATCAAAAATATGTTTAATGCAATTGTGAAACCATATTGAATCTACAATTTTCAACAATAGAATCAACTAAGAAAATAATTATATCAATGCTAATTCCTGCTTATTCGAACAATTATTTTATTCAATTCAAATATATAACTTCTTAAGATTCAATAGGACACTACTTCAATCAACCAAGATTCTTGTTTCTGCCTACCTAATGCAATTTTAAGCCTACAAAGTATGTTTGTAGATTATAGAATAGAATATAGAATATAGTTATATCAAAAATACTACTTATATTAACAACAATTCATTTGTTCGATTCAAATATAATGCTAGTTTAAATTAAATAAGAACCAACATTCTTGATTGCGCCTACCTAATACTATTTTAAATCTACAAATTATGTTTGTAGATACCTACAATTTTTCTCATAGTCGTATTAACTAAGAAAATAGTCATATCAACGGTATAACATACATAGAAGAACAATGAATTTGTTTAATTCAAATACGATACTCCTTTGGATTCAATAAGAAACTACTTCAATCAACCAAGACGTTTAGTTGACTACCTACTTAATATTATATTGTTCCAATTAAACTGCTTGTTCACAATAACATTTATCATATTCAGTGCAAAAATGTGTATTAGCTCATTCAATCAAGGTCTTGGTCAAGTTTGTCAAATTAGTTTATATCTACTAAGAGTAATTGTTGGTATGTTGTCTGACTGCGACACATTGTGTTGTTACGGTGTTAACTTATTTATTTACGTTCACACCGTAACGACACAATGTGTAGCGTCAGACAAGAGCAGTTATAGCTTTATTGTGTATTGCAAGAAGTGTCTTTAATAGATCAATTATCTGATATGATGATATATGGTTTTATGAAAAATAATAAACGTTTTATTTTAAAATATAAATTTTATTATATCTCTTTTACATTATTTACTTACTTTTTAAATTATTTAATATTTTAGATACCATAATGCACATCGCACAGTAATATATTTTTTGCCATGAATAATAATAATAATAATAGTAGGGATGTGACGACCCCATCGCCCACTGATGCGGCGAGTTTAGTGAGCGGATATGCCGTATCAGTGCAATTAGTCCGCACCTAAAATGTTACTCATAGGCGAGAAGTGTTGGTCCGTGCTTCTTTTCCATCTGCCGTCATTGTGGGTGCAATCTATCTTAACGGATCCATCAGGGAATTGGGTGACCCCTGATGTATCAAGCCTATTTTAGTACTATGATGAGTGGAGTAAACAGAGCGCGTATAGGGCCGCTGCCTGGGGATCGCCAGGGCCCGCCCGGAGCTGGCGCCGGGTCGAGCAGAATGCGAGCCAGCCAACCCCGAGGGCCGGCACGACCATCTCGCCGGCCCACTACACCATCACCACCAGCTGGCTTGGGTCCGGCAGGGTCTTCACAGACCCAGCAATCGGTCCCCGCCGCTGGTGGAGTACGCCGCATGAGGTGGACTACTCCACAAAACGAAAACATCATGCGCGCGTACTACAGGGCGACAGAGACAGGTGTCGGCGGAACGGGTTATCGGGCAAGATTGCTTGCTGCCTTTCATACCCTGGAGCCTTCGCTGTCCGTTATGGCGCAAAATTTGGCAGATCGAGTTCGCTTTATTCTTCGGAGAGAAATCTTTACTCCAGCAGAACTCGGTCAACTACGACTCGAGGTTGTGTCGTCTATGAGTCCCGGTAGCAGAAGGCAGAGCAGAAGGCGGAGTAGCATTGCGCGCAGCACCATATGCGACCCCAATGCTACAGTGGCCAGACCTGCTCCTGCTGAAACGGGAAGGGCAGACGACGCAACTGCCCAGAATTTCGAGAAGATCAGGGGATTACTTGAAGAGGCGATTCTCGAATTTCGCGAGCTCCCCCTCGAGGAAAGGCCGAAAATCCCGAGGATACCCCTAAGTCGTAAAAATCGGGATGTCGTTGAGGCAGTAAGCCAAATGCTTCTTACATACTTGGAAGAAAGCGGCAGTCTCAGTGATACCAACTCGATCCTATTTGGCACCGCATTGGCGGTCTGTCGATTCATCGGCGCCAAAGTGCCCACTGGGAGAGCTGAACGGCATACCAATGCTCGGCACAGCGAGACTCCGGCGTGGTGTAAGAGGATTGAGAAACGTATTGCTGTGACCAGAGTCCTCATCGGCAAACTGATTAGTTTCAGGTCAGGCAATACGAGGCCGAGGGTGATGCGTTTCGTACACATGGCAATGGCGGGGATAGATTTCAGTCTTGCAGACCCCGCCTTAATGCGAAAAGTGTCGGAGCGCATCGATAACCTGAAACAGAAATTGCGGCTTGGGAAAGTCGGATACGGCGGTACTCGGAGAGAGGGGCAAGGTTTCGCCAGAATCGTCTCTTTGGGAGTGACCAAAAGAAGTTTTACCGTACATGGGAGACACGAGCTGGCCCCTCCACTGGCCAAGGACCGAATGTCACAGATTGCCTTTTGGCGGAACATCTGGTCCCGGCCTGTGGAGCACATAGAGGGCGAATGGATGGCGCCTATCGAGGAAGCGTGTGCATCGATAGATGCGATGAACCCCATCACCATAGAGTCGGATGACGTGTTGGCTGCGGTCCGTAAAGCTCCGAACTGGAAAACTCCAGGGATTGACGGACTGCACCACTACTGGTTGAAGAGTTTCCGCTCATGCCACGCATTCCTGGCCCGCCAATTCCAAGACGCCCTAGAACAGCGAAGTGTAGTATGTGAATATTAAGAATCAAGTTATAAACGTGATTTGGACGGAATGCACTTATATGCAAATAATTCACGTTCGATGAATGTGCTTCCTTAGCAGTTACATATCACGTACCTTAATATCCCCCTCTTAGATTTAAGTAGTATATAAGACGAATATTGTTTAGTTAAATAGAGATCTACAACCTGAACCATAGTATCATTTCTCCCGACCACACTGACGCTATTTCAGAAGTCTCCCAAACTTCTTAACAACTGGGGTCACTCACTTAGCTCCAAAGTCCACCAATACCGCGGATCCGTCACAATACCGCCCCATAACGTGCTTGTGTACCACCTACAAAGCACTGACATTCATTCTGAAGGCTAAGATTGATGCTCACGTTGAGCACAATCATATCATGGTGGACACTCAGAATGGATGCAGGGGCGGGAGCCGCGGTTCAAAGGAGCTTCTCCTGATCGATGCGGTCGTGGCCCAACAGGTCAAACGCAACCGACGCAACTTCTCTGCAGCCTGGATAGACTACAAAAAAGCGTTTGACTCGGTTCCCCATACGTGGTTGAAGAGGGTCCTCGAGCTGTACAAGATCGATAGTACAGTTCGAAACTTCCTCGAGACCTGTATGGGGCAGTGAAGTACGCAGCTTAATCTGTTCGGGGTGCAGCTGTCGGATGCGGAAGACCGAATAAAGATTGAGAGGGGTATATTCCAGGGCGATTGTCTGAGTCCACTTTGGTTTTGCCTGTCCCTAAATCCGCTTAGCACTTTGCTGGATAAACCAGGGACAGGTTTTCAGTTGAAGAGAGGATTGTTCAAAATATCTCACCTCTTCTACATGGATGATCTCAAGTTGCTTGCTCCAAATGCTCAGAGGCTGGCGGAGCTGCTGAAAATCATAAAGGATTTCAGTAGCTCCATCAGCATGGAATTTGGGCTGGACAAGTGTGCGGTTATCCATGTGGATAGAGGTCGGATAAGTGATTCCACCCAAGTGGACCTACCGGATGGATCCACCATCCGTACCCTCTCCGAAACTGATACATACCGGTATCTGGGTATGTCACAGAATCTGGGTGTGTATATGGCGGACGTGAAACAATCCGTTAAGGAGGCCTTATTGGGACGCCTGACTAAGGTGCTTGAAAGCTACCTGTCAGGCGTCAACAAAGTCAGGGCCATTAACTTGCGTTATCGAGCAAGATCGCCCTCTGGAGCCTCGCAATTATAATATTATTATTATTATTGTTTATATTTATAATCTACTCTTCTCGACCCCTCGACGATTCGAGGGGTGGGAGCCGTTTTCTCTCTTTGTCGCCCAGACCCCCGGCCGTCTGGCCTCCTCTGCCGGGGGGAATCCTCCCACCCCTCGAGTCGTCGAGGGGTCGGAAGAGTAAATTTTTAAATACAAAAATAATAACAATAATAATCAGTTTATTTATCACACAATCATTGATTGATAGGCAAACAATTTATGATTAATTACTTTGTGCGATCTGGAGCCTAAGCTAGGGCAACCCTGTAATTCAGGACTCACCTGTGAATCAACGAGCGCTCATCTCAGTGCAGGTCAATGCTGACACGGTTTAAGTAAGGTAAAGTATTTATAATTGCTAAGAACATTAATGTTGCATGAGATAGGAGACACTAAAGTCTTGTAACGTTTAATAACAGTTATGAACATATGCACATTATTTGCATATTACATTTTTTTAAAGAGCTTCTTCCGAAATTGAACCTTTGTCATATCTTGAAGTAGTGTCAATATAATGTTGACTGGTTTACTACAACTAAAAATGTTTTTTTTTCAAATTCTCCAATTCATATTGTTCAAACTACCATCAATAAAACTACAATCAGCTGTGATACCGACGTACGTGTGCGCGATTCTAACCTTTGCGTGTAGTGCGGTCGGGTTATATTTGCGTGCAAAGTGTTTGTGAGACGTCCTTGTCAGCCAACTCGCTACAAATCAAGTTAAGCAGGCGGAACACTTCGCTTAAGTTTGCAGAACGGTTTTGGAAGTAAAGATGTCTTGCACTGGATGTACTGGTCAGTTGGACGATACTAATTCATTAAAATGTAATGCATGCGATTCCCGTTATTGTCTTGAGTGTTGGAATTTTGGATCACATAATAAAACAAGTGATCTCGACCCGAATCTACTGTCAACATTAAAATGTCCTTCCTGTACGAATATCTCACGAAGGAGACGGGGCAAGAATATACCTGCTATTCTCTCGCCATCATATGTCACCAGGACGGCTACTAGCACACAGGTTACAATCGAGAGTATCAGTGCGCTACTCGACCAAAAGTTGGCCCCGACATCGAGCATCATGATTTATTCTCGGAATGTATTAATTCAAGAAGTCAAAGGATTAATTACCACGGATATTGACAAATTGGTGAATGGGTTAAGGGAAGAGTTCACAAAAACAACTGATCATATCATGGAAGAAGTAAAGGAGTTGAATAAAATAATTAAGGAAAAAGAGAACATCATAAAAACATTAAAAACTGAACAAATACTATTTGAAAATAAACTGCAAATAATTAGTAGTCGTTTTGTTACCATTGAGAAGCTGTCACGTGATCGCAATATTGAAATACAGGGAGTCCCGGAGGACCGTAGCGAAAACGTAATATCTTTATTCAGGACACTGTGCAATACTTTTAAATACCCTATCTCGGACAGGGATATCCAGGCATGCCGTCGAGTGGCGAAGATGGATGGCAAGTCGAAACGACCGCGTAATGTTGTGGTTACGTTGAGTTCCCCTCGGATGCGCGATGAGATTATTTCGGCGACATATCGCTTCAATAAGGAACATGGAGATATAAATCTCAATAGTCAACACTTAGGTATATCAGGTGAAACTAATCAAATCTACGTCTGTGAACACTTAGCGCCGGACACTAAGCAACTGTTTGCAACAGTCAGGCGTTTTGCTAAGAATAATAGTTATGCTTACTCCTGGGTTAAATTTGGTCAAATTTACTTATGTAAAAGTGATAAAACAAATGCTATTTTGGTGAAAAACGAAGTGTTAAAGACCTTGAAATGAATTTTAATTTATTGTGTTATCTTACGCTTATTGATAAGTCATGAAAATATGGTAATTAATAATCAATACTTGCCTAGTGTTTATTATACCTACTTTGTCTTTCAAGTTTATTATTGTATACCTTTAACGATTGAGTGTATTTGCCGCTATGTTTCTTGCATGTTTATTGGATTTTATACAATATATAATATAAGTATTCATTGTAGCACATTTTATCTTACCTTGGTGATATTATATAGTCTCAACGTCACATTCGCTGCATTCTGCTTAAAACGATTTTGTATAGATTTAATATACAGTGATTACTGCCAATGATTTATCAATATATTACCAAAATGTGCGTGGTTTAAGGACTAAGTGTCGTGAAATATATAATGGCATATTGAGTCAGAATTGCGACATATTACTATTTACTGAAACTTGGTTGCAAAGTGACATAATAGACAGCGAGCTATGTGATGAACGCTACGATGTTTTTCGTTGTGACAGAAATTTAAATCTATGCAATAAATCTATTGGCGGAGGGGTTATAATCTGCGCGCGCAAGCAGCTTGAATCGAGTGAACTGAGCAACTGGCATAGTGACACCGCTGAGTCCCTGTGTGCGCGTATCCCCGCTCACGCAGTAACATCTCAACGTGATCTATACGTAATTTTATTATACATACCGCCCGAGCAACGAGCGTTCTCAACTAGAATTGACACATAAATAATAATATTGCAGCGCTGACCAATTATTATCCTGACTCTAATTATTTACTAGTGGGTGATTTTAATTTGCCTTGGATTCGGTGGGATATTAGTAAGCGTATAATATTGCGGGAAGCAAGTACTGACGCGTATAATAGCACTATAACATTTTTGGACAGTCTGAACTTTTTTCAATTCAAATAATATAATTATATTTCGAATTCTTCTGGTAATATTTTGGATCTTTGTTTTAGTAACTTAACGTTGGAAGTCTCCCGCTGGTCACAACCTCTATTAAAGGAGGATTAATATTTTGGATTTAAAGTGCCATCAATTCAAAGATTATAATTTTTACAAAGGTGACTATAACATCATTAATGAATATCTGGTTAGCTTAAATTGGACGGAAATTTTGGCTAATAACAATATAGAGGACGATGTCGGTGCCTTTTATAATGTATAAAATGAATGTTGCTCACTATCAAAACCCCTCTCTAGGGGATCAAATGCAAGGTCACATTGCGTTAATTAAATTAAATAAACAAAAAAATTTTTAACAAAAAATGGAGATGTTTTGGTAACCCTCGTGACTACGACGAGTTTTCTCTATTATGAGCCCGATTTAAGAAAGTACAGAAGGAATGTTTTTATACTTATGTTAACAAGACCGAATATAACATACGCAAATCACCTAAACAATTCTGGACTTATGTTAAATCAAAAAGAGGAGGTCCAAGATATCCTAAAGCAGTCATTCACGACAGTTATACTTTTACCGAAGGACAAAATATATGTAATGCATTTAATGATTACTTTAAGAGTGCTTTTTGCAGAACGTCTAGTTCAGACTCATCTGGTTGTTCAATTAGTGTGCTTCCCGCAAACATAAACATAATTTCTCGAATAGATATTACTCCAATGGTCGTGGAGAAACATCTTGCGAACCTGGATAAATCAAAAGGCGCTGGTTGTGATGGTATACCCCCTTACTTCTTGTCAAACTGCGCGAAAACATTGGCTCTCCCGATTTCAGTACTGTTTTCGAAATCAATGAAGCAATGCGTATTTCCAACTATATGGAAAAGAGCAAATATCATTCCAATCTATAAAAAGGGTTCCAAGACTCTTGTTTCTAATTACCGTCCGATTTCGATTTTGAACGCAATAGCTAAATTATTTGAGAAAATTGTTTACTCACACATTTACCCGATAATAGCAAGTGGCATATTGACATTGCAGCATGGTATCCAATCTAGCTATTTTCACAAATTATACTGGGAGGAACAAAATAACCGACACAGCCGAAAGTTTCAAGTTAGGTTACATGCAAACGCTTATAGATAGATAGATAGATAGATAACTCTTTATTGTTGACATAACACTATTTACAGAAACAAACAAATTAAACTTAATTAAAATGCAAACAATTGGCGGCCTTATCGCTTAAAGCGATTTCTTCCGGGCAACCTTTGGATGGAGAAAGAGATAGTCTTTATAACGGAGACGGGGGTGTACATTTGAACAACAATATATCTACAATTAAATGCAACAATGAATATAAAAACAAAAATTACATACCTACAATAAATATTTATATAAATATGATATTATATAATAATAATCGCATACATCTATATGATCTACATATATAAATACATATATACACATATTAACAAATCTGGAATAAGTAACAGTGCAGCAGCATCATAGTAATTATTGTGAAAGGTAGAATTCTTTGACGTAAACTTTAAATGTTGGTAGGGATTGAGCTCTCCTGATCGAAACTGGGAGAGAATTCCAGAGACGAGCAGCTTTGACGGTAAACGAGGAATCGAAAAAGGAAGTGCAATGAGAAGGAATTTCAAGAGTCAAGTTCTCCGTTGATCGCAATGCATATGAATTTGCGGAGTGGAGAAAATTGAATCGATCTTTGAGATAGTTTGGGTAACTGGGATTAAATAAAATATTATAAAGAAGGGATAGTATATGAGAATTCCGGCGAAGACGCATAGGAAGCCACTTGAGCTCTGTGCGAAACTGAGAAACATGGTCATATTTGCGCAAGCCAAAGATGAACCTGATACAAAAGTTTTGAAGTCGCTCAAGTTTATTAAGCTGGTCCTCCGAAAGATCAAGGTAACAGGCGTCGGCATAATCTAGGATAGGAAGCAGCAAAGATTGCGCTAACGCAGCTTTAGTGGCAGTGGGTAAAAAGTTACGTAATCTCTTCATTGAAGCAGCTGACGCGTATAACTTACGACTAATCAATTGCAATTGTGGACCCCAATTCAGACAACTGTCCATAAGTACCCCCAGGTTTTTGACAACTTGACTAAAGGGAATATCTATACCATCAAAAACAACTTTCGGAAGTGCCTGGAAGTCAAGCCTGGAGAGTAATCTGGAGCTACCCGTTATCATCACTTGAGTTTTTACAGGGTTGATACTCAAACCAAAAGCTTTACTCCATTTTTCAATACGTTGAAGGTTGAGATTAATATTTACCACTGCTTCAGATATTTTAGAGAATGGTGCATCACAGTAAATCTGAAGATCGTCTGCATATAGGTGGTAGGAACACGAAAGATTTTGAGAAATAGAATTAATAAAGATTGCAAATAGAAAGGGAGACAATACGCCGCCTTGAGGGACACCAGCTTTCGTGTCACACCATGACGAGAACTTCTCATCAAGGCGGACTCGCTGCTTGCGCCCATACAGATAGCTGTGAAACCAATCAATTAACGTTGGAGATATGTTAAGTAAGCGCAGCAAAGCAAGAAGTACGTCGAAATCAACCGTGTTAAAAGCATTACTGAAGTCCAATAATGTTAGTACCGTCAAGTGGCCATTTTCCATCGCAAGACGTATATCATCGGTAATTTTTACTAGCGTTGTGGTCGTGCTATGGCCGGGCCGGAAGCCGGACTGGAGAGGATTCATAAGGTTGTGGCGAGAAATAAATTTACTAATCTGTTGATGGATTAGACGCTCCAAGACTTTAGATAGGAAAGGAAGAATACAAATAGGACGAAATTCATTAAGTATTTTGGGATTGCTAACTTTAGGTAATGGAATTATTTGAGCTTCTTTCCAAGAAGAAGGAAAGACGGAATTAGAAATAGAGCTATTGAAGAGAAAAGTAAGGACAGGTAGAATAATGTCAAGGATTGGTACTAACATATTTCGGCTTATACCATCACTACCAACCGCATTGGAGGTGACTGACAGTACACACTTCTCAACATCACAATCCGAAAATTGATCAAGAAAGAACTGAGGATGATTAGGAATTGGTAATACGGAAAGACGATTTAAAGTATGGTTTTTTTCAGTGTCATTAATATTAGACGAAGAAGAGAAGAAGATATTGAGGGAGTCAATATTTAAATCAATAGCTTATTTTATTTGACAAATATTTAAAAATATAGGAGGTGTAAAAATGGAGTAAAAATTTTAAATTTCTTAGTGTTAACAGCCCTATAACGCGCATGCGCAATATCGATTGTGTGCAGATTACATCGAACCGCGAAATACATTAATTTAATTTAATTATTTACCAATATCTTAATGACAAAAAAATCGACAAAAAAAGACGCTTCGCAGCGGTGCGTCGGCGGCGATGCGCAACAACACTCCAGCGCGAAAGGTCGACGGCGACTGATCGGTCGGAAAATATCGACAGAATAATGAAGCCGCCTGGCGGCTTGCTTTGATATCGAGGGACGAACTCGGTTCATATTTTTTTTTTCGTCTTTTAATATCACGTATTTTTTAATGTTCTTTTTAAATGCTATTTTAATAACAAATTCCTCAATGTTTTTAAAACAAAGTTCATTTGTTTTAATGATGAATCGCTGGAAGATTTGTGAGTTTATTGAGTTTAATTAACGATCCCGTTGTTAAAGGAGTATTACCCCATTCAAACAATTTTTTTGGAGAACTGCTCTTTTAAAATAACGTAGGTTAATGTTAGACTGATCTCTCTACAATAATTTAGGAAATTTGACACTCGGTTTCTTAATTGAGAATTTAAAGTTTAACGTCTCAAACTAACATCACTTAGTTTTCGTTTCCGATTTTAGTTTTTTGATGATCAGTTGATAGCAGTTTGATAAAACTAGGACTATTTGACTTGTGAAATTAAATAAAAAACTTAGGTTATTGAGAAGAAGCAATAGAAATTTTCTACTGTTTTCAAATCAGAAACCGGCTGTTAGTCTGTAAATAGATTTAAGCATTTTGACTGCCTTGTTTATTGATTGTCTGGTAAAATTTGCATGAAAGCAGTCTTATAAATCACAAACTAGTTTATTTCGTTTTTAGAAATGAAGAAGTCAATGACCGATTAAAAACTTTTCCTTAGTGCGTCCCAAAAACAGCTGACTCAGGGTTGAAAACACTCATTCTTTTTCAAAAACTTTGTGATTTAATATCTCCGAAACTATTTGACCTAGACTTATAATTTTTTTACATCATATTAAAGACAAATAGTACTCTCCAGGAACCTCGGGAGTGTCGGTCGTTCTGTTCCACCGAGTATATTAGAACAAATTGAAAATAGTGGACAGATTGATGTGATCTACACGGACTTTGAAAAAGCATTTGATCGTGTTGATTACATTATTCTGCTCCAAAAGCTCGAATCACTGGGGATCCATGGCGATCTGCTGCGGTGGGTTGCCTCGTATCTTTCCAATCGATCCCAGCAGTGATATTAGGTGGATACAAATCTGACTATATCATGGTGCCATCGGGCGTTCCTCAGGGGTCGCATCTTGGGCATTTATTTTACAATGCATATATCTATGACATGTATACCTGCTTTAATAGTGCTAAACATCTTTTATACGCTGACGATAAAAAAATTTACATGCGGGTAAATTC